TTTTTTTTTTTTTTTTTTTTTTTTTTTTTTTTTTTAAGAGGATGCCTATAACCCCAACACTCTGGGAGGCTGAGGCAGGAGGGTCACAAGTTCAAGCCCCGTCTGAGCAATTTAGTAACTTGCCAAGATCCAGTTCCAAAATAAAAAAAGGGCTGAGGATGTAGCTCCCTGCAAGGGCTTGATCCCCAGCACTGAAAAAAAAATGACCTACAGTTGGTTGAACCTAAGGAAGGGGAGCTGCAGGTGCGCAGGTCCACCTGCGTGTAATACATGTGGGGCAGTGAGGACGCACAGCTTCATGAATCCAGGCCCCAGAGCACCTCACGGACTGGGTGGAGATGCCAAGTACCTGGGTGGGCGCAGAGCCCGCTCGGTGCTGCATTGAAGGTGTGTGCTCTCAGAGGCTGGAGGGTTAATTCTGCGAGCGCTTTACCAGCACCAGGCACGGCCCTGGGCCTCAAACAGCACTCAAGAGGCACAGGGGTGCCTGGGGCACTGTAACGGGGTTGGACGTTGGGTGCCAGGAGAGAAAGAGGGTTGGAGACCTGGCTTGAGCGGTTCTGTAGGCCAGAGTGGGGGTCTCCCCGCTGCCTGTGGATGGAGGCCTCCAGCTTCTTAGGGTGCAAAGACTCCCTTTTCAGAAGCAGTTTAAAAGCACAGGAGACTTTGCATGCAAAGAGTTTGGCTTTTGGTGTCTCCACTGAGCAAAGACGTGAAGCCCTTAGTCCCCTTTGGTCCTGCTCCTGCCTCCTCCTGCAGGCTGCTCTGAGGGCTGGAGATGAAACCCTCTTCTGCCCCTGGGCTGTGTCCTCAGCCCCTCAGCCCTGCCTTCCATGTCCCCTCCCCACTCCTTGCAGCCAGGGAGGGGTCTTTCAACCCGCAAATCTGGTGCTGTCCACCCCGACTTGCAGCCCTTTCCCGGTCAGGTCTGAGCTCACTAATTCAGCTCTTCTGGTCCCTCTCTGCTCCACAGCCCTGCGCAGACAGATGCCCTTAGTGGGCGCTGTGTGTCGGGCGGGTTCGACTCTTCTGTGCCTCTTTCCTGCTTTGGGGTGGGGTGGGGCAGGGAAAGACGGTGTCTGGCCACCTTTTTCTGTTTGGGGTGCTGGGGATCGAATCCAGCACTTAACACGTTCTACACTGAGCTGCACTGCAGCCCTGGCCAGCTTTTATTTATTTTCATTTTTTATTTTCTTGAGATGGGACTCATTATATAGCCCAATCTGACCTCGAACTCCTAGACCTCAGCCTCCCAAGTGCTGGGATTCCAGATGTGCACCGCCATGCCTCCCCCACCCCTCAGGAGCCCGGACTGTGATGAGTCCCTGCAGTCCTAGCTACTCAGGGGGCTGGGCTGGAGGATCACTTGGGTCCAGGGGATGGAAATCAGCCTGGACAACAGTGGGTTCCTGTCTCCGAACGATGAAAAATAATAAGTAAATAAAGATTCCTTAGCAAGTTCTCTGACACCCTGAATTGTCCATGCTATTAATGCTGCTGGAGGGAAGGGGACAGGGGAGGCACTGGCACGCGTTTGTCAGGGCCCACGTGCTTCCTGCCCATCTCCTGTCCCCCACCCAAAACCTGAGGGCACAGAGGGCCCCGCTCTGCTGGCTCATTGGAGCCCGGGCCAAGGCACCACCTGGTGTGAGACGAGGAGAGGTAGATGCCAATGTGCCACCCTGTGGCTCCTGGGCTCTGTGTGAGCCTGATGGCTGCACCCTGCTGGGGATGCTGAGAAGCCTGGGCCCCGGGTCTGCTCTGTCCTGGGCTGTGACCTGCTCCCCTCTTGCCCATCTGGCTTCAGAACCCTGTGGTGGCTTTTCCTGGGCAGGTGGGTGCACTGCCAAGGCTGGTGGTCTCTTCTCATCCTATACTGAAGCAGCCTGGGCTGTCCTCAGGGGAGGCCTGACATCTGGGGTTCGAACTTGAACCCATGCCTCACGAACTCAGAGGAGCCCAGCACTGTGCCTTCACAGGGCCAGGAGTCTGCTGCACCCTGAGGCCTTATTTTCCAGCCCTGGCCCTTCCCTGGGCAGCTTTATGGGGATCAAAGTGTCTGACCCCTCCTGAGGCTGACAGCTGCGGGCTCCGGGGCCCTGGTGAGTGCTGGCGGAAGGCACACATGGCCTCCTCCGTGCCAGGCGGGAGAGCTGGCACTGGGCTCTGGCAGCCCAGGAGGCTCTTATTCTGCAACCTGATAACCGCCTGGGCTGGGCCCAAGATTGCAGGCAGCTGTTTGAAGTCCAGAGAGATAATGGCTTCAGAGAGTTGATAAGAGAGGGATGTGTGGTTGTGTGTGTGTGTGTGTGCGCTTTCCCCAGTCTTGCCCATTTGCCTGTGACCAATGTTAATACAGCGCTGCATCCCAAATCAGATCCCAGACAGTGCAGGGGCTCTGTGTCCCCGGCCCTTTCCCATGGTCTGAGCATCTCTCCTGATGCCTGGGTCCCAGCTGCAGAGCCCTGTCCCCACTCTGCCTCGACAACCCCACTTCTTTGCTGCCCACTGGGCCTTCTCCCCAGGCACTTCATGCCTGCCTTTATTCCTCTCATTATTGACTGGGTGAGGGCTCCCTTTGTGCTGGGCATAGTCTGGGCACCAGAGAGACTGTGGGGCAGCCAGGCAGCACTGTCTCTGCTCTCGTGGGGCTTGAGACAGGGGAGACAAGAAGCCACTCATTGTGGAGGGTGCTGAGGGCTGTGAAGGAGATGCTAACTGTGAGTGTGGAGGGTTTTAAGGTGGAGACAGAATCATGGTTTTAAGAGAGCTCAGGGTGGCCTCTGTAAGGTTTGTGGGTAAGTGTGAGCCAAAGCAAAACTGGAGAGGAAAGAGCCAGTGCTAAGGTCCTGGGATGCAAGTGAGGGAACCATCTGGGATCAAAAAGAAGCTGGGTGCAGGCAAGAGTATGAGAAAATGACAGTGGCTGGGTGTGGTGGCATATGCCTGTAATCGCAGCACTCAGGAGGCTGAGGCAGGAGGATTGCCACAAATTGGAAGCCAGGCTGAATCACAGTGTGAGACTGTCTCAAAAAACAAACAAGCAAAAAATGACAGGGGACATAGACCAGACTGGATTAGGGCAGCTAAGGAGTTTAGAGGTGAGTCATAGGGAATGTGATTTTTGTTTTGTTTTGTTTTTTTGGTTCTCACTATGTAGTTGAGACTGACCTGGCACTCACTATGTAGCCCAGGCTGGTCTTGAACTCACAGCGATACTCCTGCCTCAGCCTCCCGAGTGCTAGGATTACAGGCATGTGCCACTACACCCGGCTGGGAATCTGATTTTTATTTTGAAATTTCCCTTTGGCTGCTGCGTGGAAGGCAGATCGGAGGGACAGAAGTTCTCGGCAGGGAGCCCCTGTGTGGAAAGAGGAGAGCGACTGTGTTTTGCCACTCGCTGGCTGTTAGACCTCAGGTCAGTGGCTGATCGCTTAGTCTCTGCCTTCACAGATGTGGGGTCTTTACCCCTGCCTGGTCCTGGCCCTGCTCTGGCCTGGGGTCCCAAGAGCCAGGTGGGAAATGGGCGGGTCGCAGAGGGTCACTTGGAGGAGTCGGGGTTTAGTCTGAGATCTAAAGGAAGCAGCAGTGTCAGCCCCGCCCAGGAGGGAGGAGCTCCGCCGGCTGGAGTCGGTGTGTGAAGATTAAAGGGGAGCTGGTTCTCCAGCCGACCCCCGGGGGGGAGTGGGGAAAGGAGAGATCCAGACGCTTCCCTGGACTTTGGCTCTAGGGAAGTGGGGTGCCGCTACTCACTGAGAAACTGCCGTTTCCTGGGAGGGTCTCACGCCCTCTCATGCTCAGGAATTTATTTGTCTCGGTGCCGGGGACAGAACATGGGGCTTTCACACCGCGCTACGTCCCTCAGCCCTTTTTATGCTTTATTTCGAGACAGGATCTCGCTGTGTCACTAACTCACTGAGGCTGGGCTCAAACTTTCCATTCTCCTGCCTCAGCCTCCGGAGTAGCTGGGATTGCATGGGGCCTGGCATCCGCGGAAACTTTGAGGACTTCTGGACAGGCCTTCGGAGGGGTCCTCCTGATGTCCACTCCTCACACCCTGCTTTCCTCTGCCTGCGGCTGCCAGGTCTGTCCTCAGCCTCTGAGGAAACTGAGTCTCGCAGTACCCGAGACACCATGCCACACGGGGAAACTGAGGCCATGTATTTTATTAAAATCCTTCATAGATTCTTCAAGAATACTCATTAGAAGATCCCTTTCTTTATCCTGCCCCCTTGAGCTGGGGTGGCAGGCGCAGTACCACTGAGCTAAATCCCTGACCCTCATCTTTTGTTGTGTGTGTGTAGGGTGATAGTGGAGCTTGAACTCAGGGCCTTTGCACTAAACTATATCCTATACTTTTTAAATACTTTTTATTTTGAGACAGGGTCTTGCTAAATTGTGGAGTTGCCCAGGCTAGGCTTGAATGTGTGACTCTCCTGCCTCAGCCTCTTAAGAGTTCTGGGATTACAGTGTGTGCCACCACATCCAATTTAAAATATTTTTTTGAGCCAGGAATGGTGGTGTATGCCTGTAGTCTCAGCATTGGGAAGGCTGAGGCAGGAGGATATCTGTGAGTTCAAGGCCAGCCTGAGCTGCATAGTAAATTCAGGGCCAGCCTGAACTACAAAGCAGGACCCTGTCTCAAAACAAACAAACAAAAAACTTCTTGAGTTCCTACTGTATACTGTTTTTTGCACTGGAGACACAGCTGTGAATAAAACAGAAGAATCTCATCTACTGGGTGTGGGTGTGATAGCTACTCAGGAGCATGAGGCAGGAAGATTTATGAGGTTAGCTTAGGTAATTTTGCAAAACCCTGTTTCAAAAATAAATTATATATATAAAAAGAAGAGCTGGAGATGCTCAGCAAGCCCTGGGTTCAATCCCCACACCCCTCTCTTTGCCCCCCAGCTAACCCAAAGCAACAAAACAAAACAAAACAAAAAAGCCACCTGTTCTTATGGGACTAAGATTCTGCCTTGGGAGACTGACAATCCAAATATAATTAAAAATAAGTACACAGGTAATTGTGTCAGGTGCTGCTATAAATAAGCAGAGGAAGGGTTGGGGCCGAAGCTGGGCGTGGTTGGCCTTGATTTGAGGTCATCACAAGAATGCTGAGCCCGCCGCTCTGGAAGCGGAGGCAGAGGCCCAGGCAGAACAAGGTCGGGACCTTCGGGCCGAGACAGCGCCGGGAGGGGGGACAGGCGGTCTGCACTGAGCGTAGGACTGGCTGCAGCCTTTACTGTGTAAGGCGGGGCCTGGGTAGGTTTGCAGGATAGTGTGGGGCCCCGTGTTCCATCCCTTGAGCAGAATATTACACTTCTTGTCGTCAGCACTGCAGCAACCGAGACTCAGTCCGCGCAGTTTGCACACACCCTGGCCCAGGCCTCACTTCCGCTTCCGGGGCATTTGCGGTGGTCCCGCTTTTGAGGCCGTGGCCAGCCCTGCGTGGCTCAGTTGCACTTACTCATTTCCCGGCCTTGTCTGTCGGCTCTCATGAGCCCTTCTGCTTGGCTGCGAGATTCCCTGGGGACGGACGACGGGGTCGGCCAGTCATCTGAATTTAAGAGGTGCCGGGGTACAAACCGGCAGGAAAGAGCCGGGATCCACAGCCCCAGGAGTTAACGTCTAGCCTCAGTGGTACGGTGAGACCCGCTGTGAACTTGTTTCCCTATCGGTAAAACAGTAGGGATGGAGCTAGATCAGTGACTTGCAAATTACTTCAGAATACCGACAGGATCTATGGATCTCCTCAGAACAATGAACTAGTGCAGGAAACTGTGCATGTGACTGGACAAGTGGGGTCACAGACCCTCAGGCTTCTCCCAGTTCCTAAAATAATGGGATTTTCTGTGCTCCCAGCTCAGCAGAGCGACTGACTTTAATTTCTGGGAGGGCCATTTAGGATTTGTTTTTGTCAGGTTCTGAAAAAGTCCCTCAGCCTCCAGGTCTGGGCTCGGAGCTCGTCCCTCCAGCTGGCCAAGACCACCCAGCCTCACCCAGGGGGAGACCCTCAGGGCGTGGTGGGGCCGGTGCGCCGGGAGGGCTGTCTCCCCTGCCCCACCGCCGAGGATCTGGAAGATGGGGGTGGCCTTGGGCCAATGTGGGCACCACCCTTTCTCACCAGGCAGTGCCTCTCCGCACGTCCACACCCAGTGCCTCGCTGGCAGGGGCTGTAACCTGAGCCCTGGGTGCCAGGCAGGGGGAGACCCACCCCGTCCTCCCCTCCCCGGTCGTCCCCTCCAGCTGCCTTCACCCCGCGAGGCTCTCCCAGGCCCAGCCCAGGGAAGAAAGGGTGCTCGGTCTCATTCGGCTCGGGACAGCTGAGGATTAGGGGCCGATGACAGGTTGTCAGTGTCTCCAAGGACAGCTCCATAATCCCCAGCGCCCCAAACTGCAGCGCCCTTTGATCCGGCTCTGAAAGCTTGATTAGGAGACACAGCCCGTTTCCACAAAGGGGAGAACGATTGTTTCCAGCCCAGACAAAAGACTCTTTGTGCAGCCCTGAGAGCCTCTCCCGGGGAGAGGAGGAC